GGGGGGGGGGGGGGGGGGGGGGGAGGCTTATCTCCCCAAATCAGGCAAAGCCAGCTGTTTTACATTTTCAATAGCTCCTTTACAGCTCCTTACTTCACAGTTGGAATTTTACATTTAAATTTGTGATTCTGTGGTTAATGTCTCTGTCCTTCCCTAGGCCAATTATCAAGAATCTGTTAAAAAAAAAAAAAAAAATTGGTTTGATCTGGAATTTTAATACTCACAATTTATTCCCCAGCAACTATTTTTTGCATGAGTATATAAATTAATTCTTTCAAGGTGACCAGACCAATCAAGGGAGTTGCCAACCCAGTCTTTAGTGCATAGTACATAGTGACTGAATCTCATCCTTTCTTTAAAACGAACCTTAAATTCAATACTACCAGGAAGTATTCTATGATTTATTCCAATTCATGCTAATTACATGCACACTTGGAATTCACGTTCACTTTCTCCATGCTGCGCAGTGTATTAATTTTCATGTGCTTCTTGCTTGGTAAATGTTCCCTAGCTGTGACCACAATTTGCCATCCTCCCTGGACAAATGATAAGCATCACAGGAGCCCATGTTTCAGTTCTGTCTCCCTCAGCAAGTTGAGCCAGATCAGGTCAACTAGAAGTTAAGAGGACACTGGGTAGTGATTGATTTTCTAAAAATCACTGGCCAGATACACAAAAATGAACAAATCTCCTTAGAGAAGTCAAGAATGGGATACACTATTTAAAAAGCAGCTTAGGGCTAGCCGATTAGCTTGCTTGGTTTTAGCGCAGTGCTGGTTACACCAAGGTCAAGGATTCAGATCCCTATACCAACCAGCTGCCAAAAAAAAAACCCAAAAATAAATAAATGGAAAAGCAGCTTAAAAAACTGTTCTCAAAAGAAAATGTGCATTTATTTTATTTACTATTTATGTTTAGTTTTCTATATACCTGAGTGTCATTGCTTTCAAGCATGCGCATGTTAAGATATGATAGGGGAAAACCACAGCCTTAAGTCATGTTTATGCCCTTGCTAGGTGTGGGCAGGAACTGAGGAGGCTGACAGAGCCCTGTTAGCCATGGGCTGCGGGAACGTGGCTCCCGGCTCCATCATCACGCCCAGCAACGCCTTCACCGCTGTCTTCCAGTCTCAGGAGACGCCAGCTCAGGGCTTCTCTGCATCTTTTGTAAGCCGTAAGTAGCACTAAACTCCAAACCCAGAGATCCTCGAAAGAGTGTGGTTGCCCCAGGAAGGCTTGGGGAACAGTGGGAGAGCTACACCAGGGTTGGCTGGAATGGAGGTCTTAAGGGAAGGAGCAGGGTGGCCTGAAACATGGGCAGGCCATCTAATCCCAAGAGGACACCTTCCTTCGAAAACCAGTGAGAATGGAACTAAGTCCAAGAGTAGGTCAATTGAGAAATGGTATAAAGGGCATGAGTGCCACTAGCTGGCATCTAAAAATAAACCTACAATCCAGAGTGGGGCAGGTATTGGGTAATTAGTAGACACCAGTATGCCTGGCATAGGGCACCTGGACCACCTGCACCAAAGTCACTTGAGAAACATTCACCCCAGACCCATCCAAATGCAGAATTTCCATGGGTGGAGTGTTGCATGTTTTAGCTTTCACCTAAGAGGAACTCATGCCCAGTAAACTTTGGGAACTGTGCCCTTTGGGATTTTCCCTTCCTAGCTTGGTACTTGGGTCCACTTCTCTATCTACTGAACACAAATTAGATTAGTGGAGAATGAAGCAGTTTTTAGGTCTGAGAAGCCATGTCATGTGCCTGTTTGCTGAGTTAAATCAAGTAGCATCTAATTGCAGACCACTATATAGGAAAAAGTCTGAGTAAAGGAATTGGAGGAAATAATGCAGTAAACAGGCATTTCAGACATGAATAAAAGCATGAAAATAATGAAAATATAAAGGAAATAATGAAAATAATGAAATATGAGTAATGAAAATAATAATGGAAATAATGAAAGGAAACCCCAGATCCAATGCTTGTCTTCAGTTGGTCTGTTGTATGTTTATTTGTGTGTAACGTGTGTGTTTTAGTATCAGTTTAAAAGGATGAAGATATTTTCAGACTTAATAGATCAGGGAGTGATGTGAATTAACCAGTCATTGGTTATATGAAAACACGTGTCATTTTAATGTTAAAAAGATATTTTGCTTTATTTCTGACACTGGGGATTCATGTATGAATTTGATAAGAGTTTGGATTAGTAAATTCAACTATTTTTTAAAAGCGACTATTGTTGTTCTAGCCAGATTACAATAGTAATGAAAATAATATCATTTTCTAATAATAAAACATTTTAAAAACATTAAGTGTATAAAGTACTAATCAGGAACAAGTCACCTTTCATCAGTTTTATTTATCTACATGAACCATATTCAATCTTTCCTAACACCCCTTTTAAAAATTTCTTAATATTAAGGGATTTGCAGTGGATTTATGGTAAGAATTTCCATCTCTTAGCTCATAAAATTGCAGCATTTTCTAAAAATTCTATAATTTTCTTATTTTGCATATATATTTATTTTTAAATCAGAGTTTCATTCTCTTTGTTATTTCTTCTTCCATTTGGAGTATCTCAGAGAACTATATCTCTAGAGAATGAATAAAATAGATACTACATGCAAGAACAAATGCTCTGATAATGCCTTTCTGTTCTCATGTAGGATGTGGAGGTAATTTCACTAGCCCTACAGGTTACATCATTTCTCCAAACTACCCAAAGCAATATGACAACAACATGGATTGCACCTATGTCATAGGGGCTGATCCCCTGTCTGTGGTCCTCTTGACTTCTGTGTCTTTCCATTTGGAAGGTGAGTTTATTCTTTTCTTTTAATTAATTAATTTATTTTTAATTGACAAATATAAATTGTATATTTATGGGGTACAATGTGATGTTTTGATACATGTGTACATTGTGGAATGGCTAAATCTATTAACACATCCATTAACCCACATATTTATTTTTTGTGGTGAGAACATTTAAAATCTACTCTCAGAAGTTGTGGGGTGTACAATACGTTGTGATTAACTCTGGTCACCATGTTATGCACTAAATATCTTGAAGTTACTCCTCCTGTCTCACTGAAATTTTGTGTTCTCTGACTAACTTCTCTCCATTTCCCCAACCCTAGTCTCCGGTAACTGCCATTCTATTCTCTGCTTCTGTGAGTTCAACTCTTTTAGTTTCCACATACAAGTGAGATCATACGGAATTTGTCTTTCTGTGACTGGCTTATTTCCCTTAACATAATGTCCTTCAGGTTCAGCCATGTTGCAAATGACAGGTTTTCTTTCTTTTTAAAGGCTGAATAGTACTCCATTGTGTATATATACTACATTTTCTTTATTCATTCATTTGGTGATGGACACTTATATTGATTTCATACTCTGGCTATTGTGAATAATGCTGCAGTGAAATGGGAGTGCAGACATCTCTTCAACATACTGATTTAATTTCTTTTGAATGTGTACCCAGAAGGGGAATTGCTGGGTCATATGGTAGTTCTGTTTTTAATTTTTTCAGAAAACTTCATATTGTTTTCTGTAATGGCTGTACTAATCCACATTCCCATCAATAAGGTACAAGGGTTCCACTTTCTGCATATGTAGTGCACACACTATAACTTAACCAGCAAGAGAAACTGTCTCTCTAAGTCAAAATAGGTGCTCAATAAATATTAAATGAAGTGAGTGAATTAATAAAATTTAATATCTGTGTTCTGCTTTAATTAAATACTACCATGGGACATCCTTTCATCTCCTTTCTCTTTATCATCTTCATCTTCCCAGTCGTGATTCCACAGTGTTGGAATTCCCAACTTCAAGTGTTCCTCTGTGCTCAGTCCTAGGGAGTGGGCTGTTTGCAAAGAGAACAGGGGAGCTGCTGGTTTGAACAGGCTCTGACTGATCATAGATATGACTTGATGTTTAATGGATACTGATACCATAGAAAAGAAGTCCCTTCAAGTAGATGGGTATTTTCAACCACTCATAATCATACATATATATTTTTTTTACAAATTAGCTTTCTGTTTCTAAACTATGGTTAATCTGTAAATTTGTCAAGCTACCTCTGTATATTCAAAATTTCTTTCCCTTTGGGCTAGCCTCCCTTGGCAGTGAAAAGTTACACTTAGCAAAACGTTCTACAGTGTTCAACATCTTGGAAATTTATGGTTTATAAAAATAAAAATGACATGTCAGTACTCATAAATTGATAAATTATACAAAGCCTTTCTCACTTAATCTTTTTTCTATGACCTCACCTCCTTTTCCTACTTCTCTGCAGTTATATTTTTTGACACATGTATTTGCTAGAAAAAGCCAAGTATAAACTGATTTATATCACTGAAAAAATGAAATTTGAAGTGAAATATAATCTTTTCAGCATTTGCTAGCACAAAATCCCAGTAATATAAAAAGATGTTGATGATATATAAAGTATTGGGGGCTGGTAAAGTAGTTTATATAAGATGATCCAATTTTCTTTTTAAAGTAACATACATGTGAATAAAATATATAAGGCTATTAAGCAGTATTTTAAGAGTTGTTACCACTGTGAGAAAAATTTATAGGTGATATTTATTTTCTTCCTTCTACCTTTTGTGTTATTTTTATAATCGGGAAAAATTATTTTAATAACAGGGGAATAAAACATGTGGCTTGGAATGCGCATTTTTGCTCATTAAATTAAATAAATGTGAGAACGTTATATGCCAATATCATTCCAAGTAAAAAAGGAGATGCTGGTAAATATATTATTATGCCACAAAAAGCACTGTCTGTACCAATGGCATATGTATTTTTACAAGGGACCCTGTACTGACCTCAAACAGTAGCTCCCTGAGCTTGGTTGACTGGGTGGGATAAAGGGGCAAGAATATTCTGGAATACTGAAGTGTGATTGAGTAGGAGAGATCACAGCATTTCAGCATGGGTCCTAATGCCAGGTCAGCCACTTACTAGCTCATAACTTTGTACAAATTACTTCATCTTTCTTTCTGATAATCTCTTTGCTTTACACACACACACACACACACACACACACACACACACCACACACACACTCACACACACACACTCACACACACACACAAAAGGGTACTTCAAAAAGTTCATGGAAAAATAGAATTAAAAGATAATGTGAATCTTTCCATGAACTTTTTGGAGCACCCTCGTGTTAGTAGTTATAAAAGTCAGATAAGGCCAGATGAAGTGATTGCTAGTTCCACTAATGGATTTGCTAATCTTCACCCAATTGAAGAGACTGTTTTTTTTCTAAGATGATAGCCTTATAATAATGTGTTATTACATTTCCAGCGTTACAAGTACTCAGCATTTTTAAACTGCCAAGTGAGTAATTTCTGGCTATAGACTAGTTAAATTATGGTGATTCCCAAAAAGAGCAACATTAATCAATTTTATTTTATAATTAGAGTCTTATCACTAATCATATCACTGCTGATGTTTATTGAATACCATCAGCAAGCTAGAAAGTTAGCTGCAGTAAAATTAAGCATTCCCCAGCCCTTCTAAAGCGAACCTGAGGGATTCATGTGATAAAACTGAGACTTGCTCTGGAAGGTCAGAGTGTCAGAGCTTTATTGAAGAAGCACTAATCTTTCTAGCTGCTATAGACAATAGAAAGTGTTTCTGAGATTCAGTACAAATGACTTATGAATCTGGCATCCCAGCAGTCACTGTTGACCTAGGTGGAGAAGAAGGTTCTAGAGCTGTTGGCTTGGTGGGCCATTAGCACAAACGGTAGAATTGGCAAGAAAAACCTGGGCTATCCCAGGCTACAGAATACTATGTGGAAACACACTTGTTCCTACATTGTGTCTACTAAACACTGACAACTAGTTAGGGAAGGTTTTACTCTTCAGGCAAATGTACTGATTATTCAACCACATACTGGTGCTTTCTCTGCTCTTAGATTACAAAGGCTCAGTGACCTACTTTCCATTTATCACAAAGTTTTTCTGAAAGAATGTTTTTTTACATTGACCTATGTTTCTCTTTCTCTTTATATTTACATTTCTGATATTAGATATTCTATGGACTACAAACTATCAATGTATCTATTTTGGAATCAGGTGTTATTATGTATGTACTGATTTTCTTTTCCCAAACATGGAACAATCTAAAAGTATTTTTTGTGTGTGTGTTTGTTATTTATGTGGCCAAGTAGATGCTCTCTGAAAAAATGATAGACTCAGTTTTCCTACTTCATAGATAAAGCACTTAGCAGATATGGTAACCTAAGGTAAGCCAGTGCCTTCTGTATCTTGAGTTTTCTATCATTAAAATTGGATGATAACATTGGTTCACTTTGGTGATAATGAAGAGTTTGGAAATTCTTAATTAAAAAATCCTACATCTACTCAAATTGTAATTGATAAGCATTGGACAGTAGAATATACTTAGCATGTGGAATGGAGAGTTCCAAAAGAGCAAATACTTTTTGGCTCCTTTTCCTCTAGGGATGGTCTCAAAAGTCCCAAGAGGGATGAGGCTAGATTTCCAGAGCAGACAGGTGGAAAATCCTACCTAATATTTGCCTGACTTCTCTTTGATCAACTTAGAAGTCCTGATTTTACAGGCTACAACCAAGATAAAGCTAAAAGAAAATAAACAAAGAAAATTTAGCTTTAGATTGGGTTTTTTTTTTTTTTACCTTTTTCCTATCAAGAAGCACAATAATCGAGAGTTTTGTCAATTCTTTTCCTTCACATTTTCTTCCACTTATGTTTAAAAAGAAATGGTATCACTTACTTACTTACCATGTCTTCTTTTTGCTTTCTCAATTGTTTCTAAAGAATTCAGAATGTGGGCACATTTCTCAATATGCTGTTTTAGAAAAAAATTGGGCAATGGTTCTTTTGAAATATTTCCTATTGATATTTTATTCAAATTGGCAGAGCACTAGATTAGACAGTTGAGTTTCTGTGAGATTCTTTGCTCTCTTATTTTTAAGGCTTTGGCCTTCACAGTTGGTGGAGTTTAGTTCTGACACATGCTTTTTCCTCTGCTGTATCCTTCATCCATCCAGGAGACCAGTCTCCAAGATACTCAGAGTGAAGTTCATTAGACAGGCGACAGATCTCAGTCATTGCCCCCTCGTTCACAAGCTTCTCCCTTGAACCTGTTTTTCTACTTTACTGAAAAGACTTGATCTTATCTACAGTATTAAAATATCCCAACCACAGGATTTTCCCTCATCGCTAGTCCTCTCTGGCATCTCTGCCTCTCTCTGTGACTGTGGAGAAAAACTGCAATCTGAATCTAAATTCCACAAGTTTATACCATTTGCTGAATTACTCATCTTTAGTTTCCTTTCAACTCTCTCCAGGTTCTTGGAATCATGCTGGAATTCAGAATTAGATGTTGCACTGTAATCAAGCCCAGAAAAATATAATAAAGATTAAGTTTCAGTACATTGCATAGAGCCTTACCCATTTTAAACAGTAAAACATGTTTTAAAGTTTTTCAAAAGGATGGAAAATAGTCATAAAAACAAATCATAGAGAATTTTTTTTACAGCTTAGATATTTCAGCAGTAAATATATATCAAATCACTTTTTAAATATAGAATTAAGAATGACTGTAGCTTCCTGTCCCTTGACATGGGCTGTAGTCCAAGGAGAAAGTATTGTTTAATTTCAGGGTGTTTCTCTTCCTGACAAATTCTCATATGCCTGATTGAATGACACCCCTTGGCCACAAACTCAACTTTGACATCCATCTTGCTTTTTGAAGAACTTTTTCCAAACCTTGACTATGTTTCCCTCTCTCCCTAGAAGACAATACT